ACGTACGTAAATATCTTGACTGAGATTCGGCGCCAGTACACATCGCCCCAGCTCTGTGTTTGTAGCCGTCTGTCTACACCGGCGGTTCCCAAACTTTTCTAAATAACCACTCCCACTCCACAGGCTTTATTGTCTCTGTCAGAATTCCTTTTGCAGAATTAAATGCATCATTTTCACTGGTATTTATATTGCGGGGTATAGACCCGTTACTAAGCGGAGACTCTGTAAAGAGCGGCCGTTGTTATGTAACGCCCGCAACACTCACGCAGCAATAGACGATCTATGTTTTCTGTGCCGGTCAAGCATACGACCGTTCAAGTGAGTAGGCTGCCGTTGTAGCAGGAGCTACTAATGATAGGGCACGAACTGCTGCACTGAGCCTGGACTATCAGAGGCCTTCTATTTAATAACATATAAAATATAAATTGCACACTGACGACAGACTTATTACTTTTAACTGTTACTCTGGCAAACGACAGACACGTCCTCTACTCAGAGGGAGCGCCCCACATCAACAAACCTGAAACTGTCATACAGTAATAAAAATCTGGTCTTAAGCCCCAGATGGGAGCTTTATTCCAAGACAGACTGGCCGACTGACAGTTGGGTAACATAACTTTGACTTAGTCAGATGTTAGGTCCTCACGGGAATCTGTGAAGACACAACTTGAGCCAGAGGCAAGAGGAATACGGACTACGTGGCCTTATAACCCAGAAGATAGTACTCTTCATTTCACGTAAATATTTACCTATACGCATTTGGTTAGCTGTCACAAAGACTTGTCCCACTCTTGCAGTTTTACAACTGTAATATCTACCCCTGTCATTTTGATGAATCAGCGGGGGTCCTGGAGTTATTTCAACATCTGAAACTAACTAATCACTTTGCTTCCCTTAACTTTGGTGTAACTTCTTGTTCTGTAGGGGTTCATGGTTTCGGGTCTTCGGATGGTAGTGTCAGGTTAGAAATGGAGTTGACTAACGGCATTTTGTCTGGTTGTTGTTGAGAGGCTGCTGGCCATACTCACGTCTGCCAGCCTAGTATTGAATATACGCTCAGGTAGCCAGCCGATAAATCATCATCACTGAAATATTATGCTGCCGCTCGGCGAATATAATTCAGTTAAACCACAAACATCTTGGGTCACGACACAGCCTAACTAATTATATGGGTATGCATAACTTATTGGGATTAATATACTATCACGTGTAGGGGTGACTACAGACGGGGTTTGGATTGGAGACTCGATTTGTTGACCAGTTATACACTCATGACTCGGGAACTAGCAGCAATTAAACGCCCTTGCTAATCTCCGAAAGTCACTAATCACATCACCTCCTAAGCCCTTTTCCAGCCTCATGTGTCACAACCAACCGTTCTCTGGCAACGGCTTCTAACAGTGGAGATTCTTCAGCTGAACACACTCAGGTCCTATCTTCACAGCCTCCCGTGCATAACTGCCTAACATCTGACTTTGTCCCTTCCTTATAACATTCCGGCATGGACCACGTAGAAACACCCCGTTCCCAGCAGTAACTCTATTGTTGCGTGAGTATTCGTTGTAGCGGGAACGTGTTTTCCGAGAAATTTCCCAGAAACGGCCTTTGTTTACAGTCACCGCTTAGCAATGGGTCTATACGCCACAATAGAGTGCTTTCCTCCTAACTGAATCAAAAGCTTTCTTGAAGTCTTATAAATGGCCGAGGCACTTCCGTCTGCTTCTCCAGTATCTGACGAATGTAAGATTTGATAACCTATTGATCTATTATGTCGAAACCCACAGTGAAGAGCAGCAGTACCCTCGTCTGTACATAGAGTTAAGGCCGAGAGAACTCAGGTGAATGGAAATTTTGTATGTAGCTGACAAGAGTGATATGCTCAATAATTACTACGTTCAGTATTATCACCCAGCTTATAGACAGATATGACGACAGTTTCTCCCAGTGTTCTTACTGCTGCTTTCAGGGATTTTTCAGATGGCAGTCATAAATTTCTCATACAAATTTACATCTGAACAGTTTAAGAATATTTTACTATTACAAAGTACTTTCAATTTTTTTTATCATTAATGTCTCGTATATTCCCTATCTTAAATTCAGGGTTTCATTAAAAAATCTTTGGGGGTCGTGGGACAGATACCTGTTTTTCTCCCAGCCGATACTCATAACTGTTGTTATAATATTTTGTCATTCCAAACCAAACTAAACTGCTTATGGCTGTAAGAACCTAATAATTCAACTCCTGCTTGAGATGATCACGCCAAAACTTGACCAATGTCAACCTTTCCAAAAGGTTTTCAAAAGGACTAGGCTCGGCTACCAAGGGCCCAGTTGCGTTCACTCTCATCAGCCTAACACTACTAACATACGTGGTATTAGATGCCTGAGAGAAGTGATTCCTCAGTCGATTCAAAATTATGTTTAAATTTGGAATTTGATTTCCATTATGATGTGTTATGATATGTGTTCTTACTTACTTACTTACTCATGGAGCTGAGCCCTTCTGGAGGAGCCGCCAATTCTGCAGCTACTCAAGAATTTCCCACAATTTTATGGAACCCGAAGGTTCTATTACCGTGTTCACAAGAGCCCTCCACTGGTCCCTATTCTGATCCAGATCAATCCAATCAATCCCATCCCATCTTATCTCTCTAAGATCCATTTTAATATTGTCCACCCACCTACGCCTTGGTCGTCCCAGTGGTATCTTTCTTTCTGGCTTTCCCACCAATATCCTATACGCATTCCTCGTCTCTCTCATTCGTGCTACATGCCCTGCCCACCTCATCCTCCTTGACCTGATCATTATAATTACTCGTATACTTGGAGAAGAGTACAAGTTATGAAGCTCTACATTACGCAGTTTTCTCCAACCTCCCGTCACTTCATCTCTCTTTGGTCCAAATATTCTCCTCAGCACCCTGTTCTCAAACACCCTCAGTCTGTGTTCCTCCCTTAATGTCAGAGACCAAGTTTCACACCCATACAGAACCACAGGCAAAATGATAGTTTTGTATATTCTAATTTTTATGTTTCTGGACAGCAGACGAGAAGACAAAAGGTTCTGGACTGAATGGTACTAGGTTAGCTTTTTAGCTTCTTGGGACGGGGTGACACCGAGTCCACTTGGTACGTCAGCCACAAATTGGGCAATTGTACAGCCCCAGATGATAGAAGATGATGATGATGATGATGAAAGTGGATAAGTAGGTGGAATGAGAACTGGCAGGGGAAACCGAAGTAATCGGAGAAAAACTGCCCCAGTGCCACTTTGACCGCCACAAATCCCACATTACCTGACCTGAGCTCGAACCCGGGCCGCCGCGATGGGAAGCCAGTGACCAACCACCTGAGCTATGGCACGGCCCTTGCTTTCTAGGTTAGTAGCACTTTAATATTTCAGATGCCTTTATATACAGATTTAATATTTTTGTTCTTAATACCTGTTTCAAACCATTTTATCTTTGAAGAAAGCAGTCTTCTGGGATTTGGCACCGTGTATATGTGGTGTTAACCGACGTTTCGGAGGAACGTATCGCCTCCATCTTCAGGGTAGAAGAAAAAATATATCAGAACCTGCAAGCAAGTAAAATACCGGTTCTCACGGTCTCTTTGCTTGCAGATTCTTATATATTTTTTCTTCTACCCTGAAGATGGAGGCGATACGTTCCTCCGAAACGTCGGTTAACACCACATATACACGGTGCCAAATCCCAGAAGACTGCTTTCTTCATAGTCACCGCCGTGAAAGCCTCAAATCTTACATTTTATCTTTACTGTCCTACTTCTCCCAAAATACCTGCTACTTTCAGCACGAGCTGTTCAGTTTATCTACATTCATTCAACTTGAATTCTAAAATTTCGCATTCAATGACGATATTGGATGCCACACACTGTACCGTCTGCAACGTCTGGCAGCGAATGAGATATGCAGAGTTCTACTTTCTTCCCCCAGTAAGAGGCACAGAACTGACGTCGTACGGTTCACGATTTCATTTGAAGACTCCACTTTAAATGCATTAAGCTCATACATTTTATATTTCAGCTTAACTTGCTTTGTGTCTGAATCGTCAGAAGCTAAAAATGAAAGTGTCGTAAGCTTGTCACTTTTATAAAATACAGAAACAAGAGCTATAGGCTAAATAAGTTTCGATCTAGGCGCAGTATATATATATATATATTAGGTACTTCAAGTTACATTAATCGAAAAGATCCGCCATTATTTTGTCCGACAACAGATACAGTGCTTTTACTAACAAACGTTTCCTCCACACTCAATGTTCATAACTCTAAGTTCATTTTATTTAAATAAACAGGGCATAAAATAGAGTGACGCACATTTCAATGGAGAAATAAAAATAAAATGAAAAATCTATGCTCAACACAAAAGCCAGAAGTAACTGTGACTCCATTACCACCTGCTTATGAGTGCAGCCACAATCTAGGCTGGAACTCTTGGCCCGTTGGCAGCTGTAAGAAATCCACTGCCATATTTAATGCATTGTAAATGTAGTTACAAAGTACCGGGTACAAGTCTCGGGCCACTGGCAGCTGTAACACATCCCCTGCCAGATTTAACCTGCAGTGGATGGAGCCGCAACGTACCCGGTACAAGTCTCGGCCCATTGACATCTGTAAGAAATCCCCTGCCACATTTACCGCGCCTTGCACTGAGCCGCAACGTACCCGGTACAAGTCTCGGGACGTTTACATCTGTAAAAAATTCCCTGCCACATTTACCGCGCCTTTCATGGAGTCACAAAACACCCGGTATAAGTCTCGGTACTTTGACATCTGTAAGAAATCCCCTGCCACATTTACCGCGCCTTGCATGGAGTCACAAAACACCCGGTATAAATCTCGGCCCGTTTACATCTGTAAGAAATCCCCTGCCACATTTATCGTGCAGTGGACGGAACCATAAAGCACATGGAATTAGTTGGCGACTATAAGAGATCCCCTGTCATATTTAACGTGCCTTGAGTGGAGCCACAACATACCTGGTACAAGTCTCGGTCCGTTGGCAGCTGTAAGAGACCCACTGCCATATTTAACGTGTAGGGGATCGGCGTTTGTGGACACAACCGCGATCTCATCCAGCTCGTGGTTACTGCAGAAGCTGGTGTGATGGTGCTGATCTCCCCCAGGGGAAGGGCATTGAGCCCCGCTGTATCGGGACCCGCCGCCTCCTATCACCAGTCGCGTGCTGCTTGAACTCGAACCCGGGTCACAGGGCACAACACCTCCAGGCGACGACTGCTTTCTGCCCCGCAGGGAAAGAACGAGACGCTTAGCAGTGGACATACCACTCTTTCGCCATGTGCCGCCTTAATTAAACACGAGACGTTTTAACAAAGTGGAGTCGTCGTGCAGAGCGATGGATGGCTCCTTACCGGATAATCTCGAGCAGTACCACAAATCTTCCCAATTTCAGTGACGACAACTTCTTCAATTGCTTGTTATAAATTGTTATCGCAAATGTTTCAACATGTCTCGCAGGAGTTCTAATAAAGTTTCACTGAACACAAGAAATCAATTCGTTCCTGTGACACAGCTCTTAACTCGTTAATACGAAACACTAAATTGGAGGGCTATCAAAATTCTGTTAAAAGATACTCCAAATTCGATTCCACAGCGTTCCGTTAACGACCCCTCCTGTAATCTACTTTCACTGCTCTCTTCAATGTCTTTATAAGATATTCACTAACAACTGGCACAATAAAATGCATTGAAATATTTCACATTTCTCTGAGCTCGTTTAGGATTTGTATTCCAACGAAAGGTACCAGTGGTACCGACACTATGTAAAATTGTGACAAACGTGTCTACTCCTGCCGAAATTCATTCATTTGAAAACGGAGATATTTTTAACTGGACACCGGAAGTGTCACCAGTATTGTGTAGCGTTCACAATGGCCACCTGTCTTCTGCTAGACCACACATTTAATCCAAAAGTCTTCTTCTGGCACGTATTTTCTGCATGATACACATTCTACAAATCCACTCTATACATCGGCAAGACAGAAACATTTGTTTCGCCGTCTTCAGGATCGAATTTTTAAATCACTGTTGATAACGTTAACATTAGTGAAATTACTAGGAACTTGAATGTGGTAAGTATCTATGTGAAAAAAAAATCCGTAACATTCGAAGTCAATTTATTTACGAAGTGATAAACAAAAACGGAAATTTACACCGACAAATTCGACGCTATGGAGGCGCAATATGGATTATATCACCTGATTTTTACCAGTTTCTTGTTACTCCCAGTCTCTACTTTCCGTCTGCAGAGCGAAATGGATCAACAATTTGACTTCCAAATGTCCTTTCTGGCTTTTCAGGCACTTTGCAATAGTTTATAGAGTTAAAAAAATGCACTAATTGTATTTTCTTGCCACTGTTGAAATGCAATTCCTTTCCTACGATGCGTAAACCCTTTCAAATCCTAACCTCGTCCCCACCCAGTGAAACCTTTACACCTGCTAAAACCAGTGCGGTTGAGATGAAAAGATGCCCCACAGTTGCTAGATATTATGTTCTAGAAAATAGGGTTGTCTGCCTTCCTTCCGTTTTATCAAAAGGGTTTGGAAGCAGAAAGCTTCAATGGAGACAAAAGTCTCGAAGGAAACAAGATAATAACTCAACGTTTGCATAAGATTATTTCAGAAATACCGCTGAAAACTATAAAGAAAACAGAAAGCATCAACTTGTCAGTGCGAGAATATCCTTGTTTCTAATTCGTTCAGTCCAAGCTCGTCAAGTTAATTAGATGACGTACCACAGTTCTGTGTCAGAAACTTCGTCAGCACATCCCCGTCCAATTAAACCGTCATCATTTTCATTCTCTCTTCTGTACTCCAGCTCCAATTCAATTGTCTATCGACTTCAGCTGAGCAGAACTGATGAAGTAAGGATCTTCACAACCCACTTTCACTCCACCATGACCACCTAGCGATGCAACCTGTCTCCAATTGACCAATTTTGTGAAGACATTTTAAGAAGCTCTTTATCAGACATCAGTTTCAGCATGAAGAAACCAAAACAGCAGTTCGCTATCGATCAACATTATTTTTTCAATGTATCGAATAGATCGATAATTCGATATCTCGAAAGAAACTCTTTATTACCATAGTTTCACTATTACAATAAGTGTAAGTTCACCAGAAAATGATGATTACAAAGAGAAGTCCACGCTATGAACATTGCAGGCTAATGATAATGAAGGATAAGTTGAGTATGAACTGTACACAGAACCGGGACACTTCATTAGTAAGAATCTATGCGCAGAAATTAAAGACCAGTAAACTGAGTGACTCAAGGATTGGTAGCAGGAAGACAAGGATACTTCAGTTCTGTTACCTCCCTGGCTCCAAACAAATACTCTCAGGCCATAGCGGCCTATATTTCTGTTTCCTAGGCAAGTTACCACAAGTTACGGAAGACAAGCCCTTCACAACAATGCTATAAGTCATTGTTAGGGGATATCAATGTTTTCTGTTCCAAATTATTTGCAAATTTACATACATGTTATTAACGGTAATATTACTGATAAATGGAATGGTTTCTAGCAAAAAAGCGTTGGAATACGCTGTTGGCCATTGTGACACTATCTTCCATGGGACTTATAAGGAAACACATCAGAACCACCACAAACAAAAAAAAAAAACAACTTGTTTTGAATTAAGAAAAACTTCACAGAAAAAGATTAGACTCAAATCGACAAAATCCTTCCTCAGAATTTCTGCAAAAACGACAACACAGAAATGTCTTAAGAGATGCACGGAATGTTACCTTTTGAGTCTCAAAAGAATAAATGTTTAAAGATTGCGCACTTGTAAGGATTTCTTATGTCTGCATATCACAGGTTTCAAATGTAATACGAATCACTATATATACATGTGTCACTTCCTCGTCAATGTCTTAGTCTTACAGAAAGAAACGAACTGTAAAAATGCTCTTGGTGAGTAAGCAAAAGAGGAAATCGACATAAACCCAATCTACTTCACACAAGTTTACACACGTTCACACAGAAAACCTCCTCACCGCAGGAGAAGAGCTCAGTACATCGCCCGTTGCTGTAGTAATGGAATATTCCATATAAGAGCGCGTTTAAACGTGTCACTTCTCACAAGTGGTAACCATATATACCAACATAAATGTATTTTACAGAACAATCTAAAAAAAGTAACACTTCTGTATTCACTAAAACTGTCAATAATATGTCACCGGAAAATACGTAATCACCACTCAGCCGGGATCTTAGACGCTTAAATTTCCACGTCACAGACAGAATACGTCATCGTTATCGGAATGATGCAGAGAATTCGAAGAGTCACTGATGATGTGACATATTCCCGCGGGACTTGCAATGTGGTAGTGATACATCTGTTACCGTCAACACTGTCACATTAAGCGGCATATTAGATAACATTTTTTCTTTCACGTTTTAGATATTACGAACAACAAATCGCGTGTTTCGATACACTTAATAAAATATCCGATAATACCCGTATACACGTAACGCTCGAAACATTCCATTCCTGGAATGAAATGTTTTTGACCCGTATAAGAAATATTATTATTATTATTTGTAGGTTATTATAATAAATAAATCGGTTTAAAAAATCTGAAGTTTCTCATAGAGTACTAATTTTCAAAATATAAACACTTGAGACGCCGTAACATAACTTCTTTCCCAGGCACTGTGAACACTCCACTACTGCTACTGGCTCTCGTGTTATCCATGGGCGCTACTGCGTGTCTACATGGCCGGCTCTTCCTTACCAGCCTCATGCATCTCTCTCTCCAGCTTTATCTCCAGACTGGATGTACTGAGTGGCAGAAAACATCGCCCCCATCTGCAAGTCTGCATTACACGGGAGACTAACCCTTCACTTTCTTTGTAAGAAACTTGAGCTGTTACAATTCTTAATACATGAACAATCAGCAATGTCCATCAAACATGAAAAGTTTAATATTACTTACTCATGGAGCTGAGCCCTTCTGGAGGAGCCACCAATTCTGAAGCTACTAAAAAAATTCCCAGCATTTTATGGAACTCGAAGATTCGTTACCGTGTTCACAAGAGCCTTCCACTGGTCCCTATCCTAAGCCAGATCAATCCAATCCATACCGTCCCATCCTATCTCTCTAAGATCCATTTTAATATTGTCCACCCACCTACGCCTTGGTCTTCCCAGTGGTCTCATTCCTTCTAGCTTTCTCACCGATACCCTATACGCATTCCTCGTCTCCCCTATTCGTGCTACATGCCATGCCCACATCATCAAAGTTTAATAAACTAAAATAAAAAACCTTCACATATTTCGGCAACTAATGTCCATCATCAAAAGGCATAATCAGCAGTACAGTAGAGTAGCACCCCAATTATCCGAATTAATTAGTGACAAAATTTGTTCGGATAATCGAAAATTCGGATATTTGGATTAAATTCTTATCTATCGAAAAACACTATTACAATACATATACTGCACTTTTATAATGAAAACTAAAAAAAGACTTCTAGAACGGGTACAATATAAAAATTAATATATGTAATTATAAATTAACATTTCAGAACAGTTTATTTGAAAAAGTCGAACAGTGATGTTTGTTTAACGGATGCGTTCCTTGGTCGCGGAGAGTCGGTTACTTGGCAATTCAGATAATCGACATTCAACTGTTTTCACAGGTTGCTAGGGGATTTCTACCATTAGACATGGAAGTGCTACACGTGCTGTAGATCACTACGTCAAGTCATAAGCACCACCACGACCCTCACATCACCAGACAGAACCACATAAGGCCATCTACACAAGACACTACGTAACCAGTGTCGTCATCTTCATATATCCCTATAAGATTCTCAGTTAATTTTAAATAATATTAACTAATTATTTTAACAATATAACTTATTGTGACATGACGCCTGAAAGCCGGAATAGCGGAGCCAGAGAAGACGTCCATTGTTAGGCAACGACTCGGTAAACAAGTTCCCGCGACAACGGATATGTAAGCAACAATGAAAGTATTGCTGAGCTATTACAATCCGCCCCGAGGCTATACAACGCGGATCCCAGGCCAGCTGAGAGGTGAACTGAGACGAAGCTGATAGAGGAGAGAAGACATAGTGCGTCATATAGTGTTTTGTGAAGTGCAGTAATGAGTTGTATAAGTGTTCAAAAATGCGATCATCAACCCAAAACACGTCTATAAATCACGCACGCCCACAAATAATTTTAATTGCATCAATATTTTAGCCTATTCCCGCGCTGTGATGGTAGAAACCCATTTATAACAACCTG